GACTGGGTCACCAGTCGGACTGGGTATCCAGTCGGACCGGGTACCCAGTCAGACCGGTACCCAGTCCGACTGGCACCCAGTCCGGCTGGATACCCAGTCCGACTGTACTGGTGCATGCCTATTTAGAATACAGTTTTCAAGCTTTTTATATACAAAGTATTCAATAATCAAAACCTCGTTATCTTCTATTTGTATATACTTGATGACGCCTCCCTCGAGATAAGTCTTCATTCTTTATCGGTATTTGCGATTTAAAGCGATATCTTAATATTTTGTACAAAGGTATAGAAATCACACAATAAAATGAATCGTATGCTGACATCATCAGCGTGGTCGTCGATTTGCTCGTGTAGGTGTTTCGAACGAGTGCTGATTAAATAACTTTTTTTATTTTTCAGTTTAAAACAAAGCTACACAAACAGAGGAAAGAAAAAAAGAAATTTCGAATTGTTCTTTAACTGAAAACGGTGCTTTCAAGACAAGTGTCATTAGTCAACATGCAGGGTTTCATCATTATAACTTCGAAAAGTATTAAACTACACTTTTCTATATAAACTGGATTGTCGATGAATATATTTGACATCAAGACCAGATTTATTCTATACAAAGTATTACAGGAACCGTACATGGCTAACCTGATTCTTTTGCAGTGCGATACATCGGATCAGATTGAACACACTATTGACTTGAACAAACAGTATCGCATCATTCTATCTTGCCAACGAAAGCACACTCATGAGATAAAACATCTTTTCACTAGTCGTTACGTATGGGCAGTTTATATTCTAGGTCAATACAATACTGAAAATGTTAAAGTTCGCACAGTGAATGGAAATGAACGAGACTTGATGTGGTATCTTATGAATCATGAAACGGACTATCTCAATGAACAAGAAATGAAGCTTCGCGATCAAGGTGATATGTTTGCAGCTAATGTGCTAAGCAATGAAAGTATAATTCTCTTTGATCAAATGGATGGATTTACTAATTTTTAAATTTTCATTCAAATACGTCGTATCAATTTAACATATAAAACACACAGTCAATTGGATTTTTTTTTATTCAACAAAACATGCCTGAGGATTCTAAGAAATTGAAAAGAAATCCCTCGATTATATGTAATACTGCTAGAAATACTTGTGTACGAAATTTATATGTATTGCGTTTTTTAATTAATAAAAACATATACAACATCAGTCGTTCGAATTTTGTGATTAGAGATGTCGTTGTCATGTACTTTACTGTTCTACGATCCAGATGAAAAGCATTCTGAATTATCAGTCGAGCAAAGCGTTCAAATCTTTCGTGATTTAAACAAATTATATCGCTCAATTTTACCCAATGGACAAATTTACTATGTTCTCTGTTTATGCTGTAACGACTTATCCGCGATGATTGAACAAGTTAAAGGATTAGATACCGTAGTTGCAATCTGGTCCTGTAAAGAGCATTGTGGTTCTGAAAGTAATCCCACGTTCAATACAAAAGTGCGCGACGATCTTTATTTTTATCCGAATGGATATCGTCGTTACAATTGGTTGTATGATGCTCACAAAATTCTATTCGAAGCATATCGACGGAGCAAAAATAAGTGTGAATACGAGAAAGAGAAAGAGATACTAAAAGAAATCAAGCGGCAAACATCTTTGGAATCGCAGAGTTCAGTGCAATCTACTGATCGATCAGACGCAGAGAACGAAGATGGCATAGCTTTTGGCTATGAAGCAGTCGACTAATTCTTAAACAACTAACTCATGAACGAAAAGTTTTTCTCTATCTTATTCGCTTCTTATTAATGCTATGTATAGTTTACTAGTAGTTGACTAATCATAGATGCAATGTTCTGCAACAGCTGAACATTCAGTTCAATCAATTCGATGAAAAATTTTGCACTCACTTCAAACTGAAAAGAATCATCCAAATATAATCATTGTTTTTAACCTATAATCTAAAAAAAGAGCCCATTAGTTTCTCAACGTTCTGCTTTGAAGTGCTCTTTCCAACTTATGACAGGTGAAAATGTTAAAAGTTACATAAAAGATGTGATGCTTACTTGCATTCTGATTTTCTGTTTACGATACATTCATTCGGCAACAATAGCATGTATTTCATTCACTTGATCGTCCTATTTTCATTAATAATACGCGTTTCAATGTTATCTATTGGTCGTTTATCGAAAGCACGGCTTCTGCCAGGACGAAAAAATCAAACGACATGACTCTACAATCAGACGAGTACGGAGGAGTGTCTTTGCACCGCATTAAGGTATCATTCAGTGGATGCAATTGCTGGTCTAAATAGCTTCTCGTCGAATGCCAGCTGTCAATTAATTCTCGCACCACCGATTTTGTCACCGTCGATCATCTACGATATTAAGTCTAATCTTTCACTTTTACATCCATTTATTGATGCTCCATGTTGTTCTGACTTTTCCTGGATGCTAGACCGGATGAAAAGATCAGGACGCCCGTCGAGTGCTACAGTTCCAAAGCCAACATTGTTATCTATTGATTCAACGGGCAGGTTTCTTTCGGCAATGCAATACAAGAGCAAATTCTATCGCTTTCATCGAACTAATCTGAGTCTGGAAGGTATATATTCATTACCGACAGGATATGTATGTGCTAGTTCAATCTACAAACGAGGTTATATTTTTTTTGGTACGATTTGTTTTATTTAGTAGTATATTTGTGAATGCTAACAGGCTTATTTGTAATTGCAGGATGCGATACACCTCCGGCACTAATGATTTTCAAGGAAACAAATTTAACTTCACCCTTGATGCGAATAAATATGACACAATGGATAAGAGGAGTATCATTTGCACACAATGATACATTAATGTTTGTTGCCGTTCAAGAAGGAGATTATGGCGTTTATATTTATAATATCATTTGGACACCAAAAATATTCGTGTCACTTGCTAAAACGTTTGCACCTATCGTTGATCAAATGTGGACTATACATACAGTTAATGATAGCTGTGTACTAACAACATTCTGGAGCAATAATGAACCTGTCTATAAAATTCAATCACCTACGACGACGAGCATGTCATGTTTCAGAAATTCCTTGCCGACTACGAAAGTAACGGGATCGAACTCATTGGGAGAAGCAGTAACCGATCCTTGTGGTCGAATTTGGGTTGTCGTTTATGGGTTTGGAATACGTATCTATGATCAATAAGGAACAATTCTCTTGGGTAATTGGTCATTAACTACAGGAGTGGCGAATATACTGTTACTCGATAACTATGAAGTTTTTGTAACTGAATATGATCAAAATTTCATCTATCATTTCGATCCAGATCTTCGTTGTATGTCGTAGAAATAAATGAGAAAGTGCAGATATGAACGTTGTTGCCTTTGTTACAGTCATAATTTAAATGACAAAATTTTCTATTATGGTAAAACCATTCACACGCAGTGGCTTTATCATCTTGAAACTAGATGATTGATGAATCCATATATTTGTGTTAGAATTGTCATCTTGTTGTTGATTGCTTGTGTATAGACATATGGGAAGCTAAGATTTTACGACTCCGTTCATTTTTTTCTTGATTCTACTCCCATACATTTTCACAAAGATGATTATTGCTTTGTTTTGAAATGTAGTTATTAAATTATAACAGTAAGCCTATATATTCAATTATAAAGTGGCGATGAAAGTATTCATTCTCCCGAAAACTTCAAGCATCGATAATTAATGAATAACGATCTAAATCTATTAGATTCGTTTTAATTAAATAATTTTTTTAATAAGAATAAAAACTGAGCAAAAATAATTATAGAGAGGAATTACAAAATGGCTTTAATCCTCCTTAATGAACTAAAAATGATCATAAATTGCTAGTATTTATTATAAACCCTCATCAAGGCTGGAAGTTTTTTTTGACTCAGTCACTGGTTGCAATTCGACTCGGCCCAAAAGCTCAGCAAAGCCATCTATCTGCGGATAAAATCAAGCTTCTCTCTCTCTGGTGATCTACCTTTTGTGCTGAAAATACTTGTGCATTCGGATGTTGTGACTGAAGCATTCCATTGAATCATCCGAATGAACAAGGTCTAAAGAAAAGAATAAGTAGAACATTTTAAAGTACTAACCTTCTTTGGAAAATAACTTTATCTAATGGAAAAAATCTCTAACTGCTCTCTGTCAGTTTTTATTCGTAAATGGACTAAATAAGTTTATGGCGAGTTTTTTTATGATAACTACAAAGACATAATACAAGCAATAAACCATGTTACACACTTCACTTCTTAACGTTTCGAGTAGTTTATGCGGAATATAATTGATAATGACATCGTTTCTGCAAAATGAATAGATTCACTTGATTTTTTTCTTCTTCATGAGAAAAATGTAAAAGTACATTTATTTGCTTATCCGCTCATATTCCAACGTCATAAAATGTCAGCTTCCGGTGCAAATACTACTGATGTGGCTCTTCTCATACATGTTAAAATACTGTTCGTACAATACTGGTCATATTCGATGATATCTCTTGGTCTAGTTGGCCATACATTCAATATTTATGTTTTTACCCGACCATCTCTGCGATCAAATCCGTGTACACGCTACTTCTTAGCATCTACGATATGTGGCATATTTATTATATTTGTAAACACTCCGTTGCGTCTTATGACAGCTGCGTATGGTATTCAGGTATTTGGATATTCTGTAGTCACATGCAAATTACTTACTTATCTTCTGTTTTGGTCGAGGTTTGTATACTATCAGAAAAAAACGCGATATCATATAATCGTTTATTTATATATTTGTCAGGACACTACCATCTTGGTTTATTGCACTGGCTTCCATCGATCGGTAAGTCATCTTATCTCAGAAGCTAAATATTCAGAGATATTCTGTCAAGTCTCTGTAATTCATGCAGTCATAGCTTCTCTGTTTATTTTCATAGATTCCTCTGTAGTTCACGGTCCGTTTCTTTGCGAACATGGAGTTCTCTTCGAGTTGCTTGTTGGGCTAATCTGATTACGACTATTGTCGTTGGGCTAGCGTACATTTATGTTCTTTTCGATTATACAACTTTACCAGGAAGTGCTGGATGCTCCCTGGCTCAAGGCTCTGCTCGAAGTTTTAATGGCATTTGGAATTTAATCATATTTAGCTTAGGTCCACCATTGATCATGTTGTATTTCGGGTCACTCACCATTCGTCACCTTCGACAGTCAGCAAAACAAGTTCAACTTCAGAACAACCAGANGGAATACGTATCTATGATCAATCAGGGACAATTCTCTTGGGTAATTGGTCATTAACTACAGGAGTGGCGAATATACTGTTACTCGATAACTATGAAGTTTTTGTAACTGAATATGATCAAAATTTCATCTATCATTTCGATCCAGATCTTCGTTGTACCTCGTAGAAATAAATGAGGAAATGCAGATATGAACGTTGTTGCCTTTGTTACAGTCATAATTTAAATGGCAAAATTTTCTAGTATGGTAAAACCATTCACACGCAGTGGCTTTATCATCTTGAAACTAGATGATTGATGAATTCATATATTTGTGTTAGATTTGTCATTGTGTTGTTGACCACTTGTGTGTAGACATATGGAAAACTAAGATTTTACGACTCCGTTCGTTTTTTTTCCTTGATTCTACTCGCACACATTTTCACAAAAATTATTACTGCTTTGTTTTGAAATGTAGTTATTAAATTATAACATTAAGCTTATATATTCAGTTATAAAGCGGCAATGAAAGTGTTCATTCTCCAGAAAACTTCAAGCACCGATAATTAATGAATAATGGTCTAAATCTATTAGATTCGTTTTAATTAAATAATTTTTTTAGTAAAAATAAAAGCTCATAAAAAATAATTATAGAGAGGAATTACAAAATGGCTTTAATCCATCTCAATGAACTAAAATTAATCATAGATTGCTAGTATTTATTATAGGCCTTCATCAAGGTTGGAAGTATTTTGACTCATTCACTGGTTGCAATTCGACTCGGGCCAAGAGCTCAGCAAAGCTATCTATCTGCGGATAAAATCGGGCGTCTCTCTCTAGGGATCTACGTTTTATGCTCAAAATACTTATGCATTCGGATGTTGTGACTGAAGCATCCTATAGAATCATCCGAACGAATGAAATCTAAAGAAGAATACGACCATTATAGAAATAAATAAGTAGAACATGTTGAAGTACTAACCTTTTTTGGAAAATAACTTTATCTAATGGAAAAAAAAATCTAACTGCGCTCTGTCAGTTTTTATTCATAAATTGACTAAATAAGTTTATGACGATTTCTTTTGATGATAACTACAAAGACATATACAAGCAATAAACTATGTAACACGCTTCGCTTTTTGACGTTTCGAGTAGTTTATGCGGAAAATAATTGGTAGTGACATCGTTTCTGCAAAATGAATAGATTCATCTGGATTTTTTTCCTCATCATGAGAAAAACGTAAAAGCATATTTAATTTCTCATCCTCTCATATTCCCATGTCATAAAATGTCATCTTCCCGTGCAAATACTACTGATGTGGCTCTTCTCATACATGTTAAAATACTATTCGTACAATACTGGTCATATTCGATGATATCTCTTGGTCTAGTTGGTCATACATTCAATATTTATGTTTTTACCCGACCATCTCTGCGATCAAATCCGTGTACACGCTACTTCTTAGCAGCTACGATATGCGGCATATTTACTATACTTGTAAACACTCCGTTGCGTCTTATGGCAGCTGCGTATGGTATTCAGATATTTGGATATTCTGTAGTAACGTGCAAATTACTTACTTATCTTCTGTTTTGGTCCAGGTTTGTATACTATCCGAAAAAAACACAACATCATATAAACGTTTATTTATATCTTTGTCAGGACACTGCCATCTTGGTTTATTGCACTAGCTTCCATCGATCGGTAAGTCATCTCATCTCAGAAACTAACTATTCACAGTTATTTTGTCAAGTCTCTGTAATTCATGCAGTCATAGCTTTTCTGTTTATTTTCGTAGATTCCTCTGTAGTTCGCGGTCCGTTTCGTTGCGAACATGGAGTTCTCTTCGAGTTGCTTTTTGGGCTAATCTGATTACGACTATTGCCGTTGGACTAGCGTACATTTATGTTCTTTTCGTTTATACAACTTTACCAGGAAGTGCTGGATGCTCCCTGGCTCAAGGCTCTGCTCGAAGTTTTAATGGCATTTGGAATTTAATCATATTTAGCTTAGGTCCACCATTGATCATGTTGTATTTCGGGTCACTCACCATTCGTCACCTTCGACAATCAGCAAAACAAGTTCGACTTCAGAAAAACCAGACTAACGTACAATCTCAACCACAGCTACAACGTCAAAAGAAAACAGATCGACAATTAATTCAAATGATGATTGTTCAGTGTGTTTATTTTAGCGTGACATCTTCTTCGATCTCAATCAACTGGATCTATGTGGCTGCAAGGCCTCCGTTGGCCATGGACGCTCTCCAAGTGGCCAAAGATGATTTATTCGCACAAATAACTGGCTTTACTTCTCTTACAGGTGCCTGTACAAGTTTTTACCTTTTTACCTTGTCAAGTAAGCTATTTCGTTCTGAACTAGTGAACTTATTTAAACGACAACAGCGACGCTTCGGTCCAGCATCTGATGCTACAAGGCATCCTACACAAAAAGTTCAATATCCTACGCTCGGCTGAAGCGTAGTCAAGTAGCTGTACAGATCATTTTTTGCTTGTTGTATACATTTGATTATCATTAGCATTATAATAAACATATATCTGCTATGTGAACATTGAACTAGTTAGAACTGATACTATATAAACCAGTAGTACCACAGCAGTTACTGTTTCATTTGTAGAGTTAGTACTTTTCCCATAATAGGTACACTGGTTAAAAGTGTGAGCAGAATAAGGTTTATTTATTAAAGTTTAGTGGCATTTATCGAAAAAAAATTGTAAAAGGCATTCAATCATCGTCTATAATATCGTCGATACCGACGATAATTGAAACTATAGGGTGGAGGAGAGGAACGCCGAACCGTAGTCGTTGAATGAGCTGCTAAATTAAGAAAGCCATCTGCGGTATAAGAAACATTTGGTCCACTTGATGTATTATCTGTAGTTATTTTCCATTCAATACGACAGAACGGACAAGTAACCGGTTCACGCATCAATGTTTTCATTCGACGCCATTGATTAAAGCAGTTGTTGTGCATATTATTACCACATGAAGTGGAACAAAATAGAATATTTGCAGGGTCGCCTGCTTTATCTTCCATTGATTCACAACATATGGGACAGTCATCGTCAGCCGTAATTGTTTTTTGTTTTACAACTGTTTCTGGCACAGTTGCATCAGCGACAGTATCAAGGATTGTATTGGAGTCACCCGTTGTTACTTGGTAGGCTTTGCGCACCTGAGAAAAGAATATTTAGTAAAGGATCTGTAGACATCTTAATTTACCTCTTGCTCTGCAAGAATATTTGAATCATTGAAAATAGCGTTCTGCTGCGCATCGGCATTGGCAAATATCTCGTTCAATTCGTTAGTTAACAGCGCTCTTTGATACAAAAGTCGTGAACGACTATCGACTTTGAGCACACGATGCAAGATAAAAATGATGTGTTTACATACATTGCCTGAAGCATGATCGGGACCTATCATTCACCAAAGAGAAAGTTTCGATTTAGCTAAGTAAAGATGTACTCTACACTCACAAGTACACGATAGTAAACGGCTAATAGTGACAGTGTAAACATTGCCTGTCTGTCCAAAAACTTGATATGTCCGACGAGTAGGTTCTTCTAATGTTGAACTGACGGCCAATAAATATAATCGTTCCCGTATAGCACGTTTTATGCGAGTGCACATGGCACTCGTAGGTTTTGAACGATAGCAACGAAGCCGCTTTTCAACTGGAACTGATTCTGGATGATCTTCGGCAGGTAAGGCTTTCGTTTTCTTTTTGCGCTTCGTCGTTGTCTGGTTTGCTAAACGCTCCTCTTGAGGTTTTCGTTTATCGACTAAGTCTTGTGAACGTGTTCGCATTCTCCTAACTGGTATTTTAGAGTACGAATAGGCAAACGTGTGCAGAGGAGAAGAATTTTCAGGCTTATCTTATTTTACATAATAAAACTGGTATTGCACAACTTTGGTGAAATATATGTAAATAATTCAATATGCTCTCTCATGTTTGTTGCTATAGTAACTCGTTGATTTTGAATTTGTATAAAGCACTGAGATCAACTGTTATTGTTGTATTGAACAGAGTCGGAATTTTCTGCATTTATTCTTCGGTACTTTTATAAATATCAGTTGATTCTTTCTTTCTTTCTCACAATTCAGTCATCATTCAAGAACGATCTTCTATTCCAACAAAAGCCAATTCAGGCTTAACTGAATTTAGTATAGGATTATTAAATCTTATCGTTAAAGTAAATGAATTTCTTTTTCAATAAGAGCCTTTATGTACATAGTATATTAAAAGGCAGATGCAATATACAATTGTTAACAAGCGATGTACTTTTTATTCAGCAAGGTTTTGTTCGAGTTCTGCTCGATGTTGAACATTAACGAATCGATTTAGTTACAAATTATTCGAATGGACAGTCTAGTCAATAGGACGCAAAATTCAACCTCGTTATCATGAATCAGTAATTGGTTTTGGAGATTATCGTCCACCATATATAGATTTCAAAGTATTTGTTATTGATGATCTTACTTAGAAAATAAAATGAAATCCTCTGATATCTGAAAGCTACTCAAAATAATTTGTTTATTACGCTTCTAGTTGCTGAAAAGATAATACACAGAGTAATGTTCGTTCGATTCTAGTCATTTGTTTCTGAAGCGATTTTGTAGATCGGCGGTTCATCAGCATATATTATATTCGATTGGTTTGAAACATCTTTTTTGTTTCGATTTCTACGACGTCGGAGGCAGAACCAAATGAGAATACCAGCAAGAAGGATTCCCAAACAAAGAGCAACAATAGAAATAATCAATGGAATGAGAAACCATTTTGATGACGACCTATCACAATTACCATTTGGACATGATCCTTAAAACATCAAATATAGAAAGTTTTTGCATTCGATATAATTCTCAAGCAAAGTCAATTATACCCAATGGTCTCTGAGGACCTATTAGATGTCTCGCTTCGATCGATGTTACATCGGAATATGATCCGATGTTATTCTGCGCTTCCACAATAGTAGCAATGAAAAATATCGCCACAACGATCACTGCCATAAATATTCGATCAGATCTAACATAAAACGATATACATACCAGCTCCCTACGAGCATATAAATATAAACTACACTATTATACCACTTCTGACATAAAACGAAAAAAAGTACTTTTACATTAAGAAAATGTCACATTCACATACTATTAGTAGAAACAAGTTCGAATGTTATAATTCGATCCAGTGTTCTTTCTTGTTTTCCTTCTCTTTGTAAAACGGATCCATACGATGAAAGATACTGTTTACCTGTTGGTTGCGTAATTACAACATGACACAACTTATACGTCATTCATTATTACTCATTTCTATACCCACCATAGAAAGTGTTCGCTTCATTTCATTTTTCTAAAAGAATGTCATCCATCAACGGTGTTTCTCACATGGATATTCTTAAACCTACTGACTATGATGAAAATCCTGCTAGATATAAAAAAGTAAGTGTCGTCATTGTGTCTGATACACATAAAAACCATCGACGATTGGCGATTCCCAATGGTGATATACTTTTACACTGTGGAGATTTTTCGAATCGACATGATTGGTATAATTTATCCGATGAAAATCCAATTCCAAAATCAATCGTTGATTTCAATCAATGGTTAGGCACATTACCACATCAACACAAATTTGTCATTGGTGGAAATCATGAAATTGGCTTTGCACAACTTTCCCTTGAGGATATTCAATCGAAACTGTTAACAAATTGTAAATATCTACAAGACGAATTGGTCGAAGTTGAAGGAATAACAATCTATGGCTCTCCATGGCCGTTCACTCAATCTTATCGTTCAAAATGGTCTTCTATTCCAGACCACATTGATGTTTTGATGACGCATGTACCACCGCAGTATATCTTAGATTTAGCTTATCAACCGAAGAAGGCTCCGATCACAGAACCTTGTGCAATGTGTGATGATAAAGTTCACGGATCTTATGGACACTGGGGCTCGCGAAGCTTAAAACGCGCGGTTCTGGAAAGAATTCAGCCACGTGTACATTGTTTTGGTCATGTTCATGACGATCCAGGTTATAAATATGAGAATAATACACTTTTTATTAATGCAGCTGCTAATCTGACGCATCAATCGTTCAAACTTAACTTTTATGTTGATTTAAATAAACAGGAATATGCTCAGTAACAGACGAATTTCACCTCAAGTTGAACTCTCCATTTCATTGCGCCCTCTCGGATTTTTTATTTTGAAATTGAAAAAAAAGATTTAAGTCTCACGAGAATGAGTAGAGCTCTGCGCTATTTAATGGTCCACCATTAAATCCTGCGGTAATCAGTATCGATCCATTTGATAAGGTCGATGCTTGATGTCGAAATCGACCGTGATTCATGCTATTCACAGTTACCCAAGTATTTGTTGAAATGTCGTATACTTCAGCGCTTGTTAAAGCTTCCGTATTGTAATATCCACCAGTAATCAACACATTTCCATTATATAATGTTGATGCTGTATGATGTTTTCGAACAACATTCATTGGATTCGTTGTTGTCCAAGCATCTGTTTCCGGATCATATACTTCACCTGTCTTGACATATTCACTTCCTTGCCCACCAGTGACTAACACTTTTCCATTCGGCAATACTGCTGCAGCATGTTGCATTCGTGGATAATCCATACTTCGAGCAGCTCTCCATGTACCTGTTTCAGGATCATACAATTCTGCGCTATCAAGAACATCCGAAGTGGATCCACCGGCAACTAGTATTTTCCCGTCCAACAACAGCGATGCCGTATGCTCGCTTCGTGCCTGTGCCATCGAACCGGTTACTGTCCAATTTCCAGTTTCCGGATCATATAATTCAGCAGTATTACTGTCAACACCGATCGCTGTTTTACCACCAACAACTAGTACTTTTCCATTTCGTAACAGTGTAGCTGTATTAAAAATTCGTGGATAATTCATCACACTACTATCCGTCCATTTTTGTATCTGAATATCATACACTTCACTAGTACCTAAAGGACCAGGATTGGCACCACCGCTCACTAAAACATTTCCATTTGATAATAAAGTTGCAGTATGATACGATCTTGGATTGATCATAAATTCAGCAAATCTCCATGTTCCGGTAGATGGATCATACATTTCAGCTTCATTTAGAGTAATGTATTCACTGCCACCAGTAACTAGAACTTCTCCATTTTTCAGAGCAGTTGCGGTATGATCAACTCGTCTATTTAAAAGATCATTTGTATTCGTCCATTGTTGTCCGAAACAATTCACAGCGATATTAACAAGTAGAATGAAAATGATTTGAAAAACTGCCATGTGAAATACAACGTATATTAAAATAAAAATGGATATGTGATAAAAACACGACCTAACTCTTTTTATCTTGCAAAGGCAGCTGATGCTCCGGTAATATTTCTCTCATTATATCACAAAGCATAACATAGTTCGAAAAGCACACAAAAAGAAAAACATAGTCAATACAACTAATAGAGAAAGTATTCGGATGGATCGTATATTTCGGCACTGTTCAGAAAATGTGTGGTCTGATACGATCCACCTGCTACTAATACTTCTCCGTCCTCTAATAATGTGGCTGTATGATATTCGCGTGTGTAATCCATGTGGCCAGCGAATGTCCATGTCTCTTCTAACGGATCATACAGTTCTGTACTATTACCAGTCGAAGGATTGCCGAATCCACCGCTCACTAAAACCTTTCCATCGTGCAATAGAACTGCTCTATGACTACTTCGTGGGGATGACATATTACCAGTCATCGTCCATTTCTCTGTCAATGGATCGTATAATTCTGTACAACTTTGCGAGCCACCAATTGTCCATCCTCCACTAACTAGAACTTTTCCATTCAGTAACAGAGTCGCTGTATGAAAGACTCGTGCAATATTCAGACTACCAGTAGACGCCCATTTTCCTNCAGTGTGTTTATTTTAGCGTGACATCTTCTTCGATCTCAATCAATTGGATCTATGTGGCTGTAAGACCTCCAGTGGTCATGGACGCTCTCCAAGTGGCCAAAGATGATTTATTCGCACAAATAACTGGCTTTACTTCTCTTACAGGTGCCTGTACAAGTTTTTACCTTTTTACCTTGTCAAGTAAGCTATTTCGTTCTGAACTAGTGAACTTATTTAAACGGCAACAGCGACGCTTTGGTCAAGCATCTGATGATGCAAGACGCCCTATATAAAAAGTTTAATTTCCTATGCTTAGCTGAAGCGTAATCAAGTAGCTGTACAGATCAATTTTTGCTTGCTGTATACATTTGATGATCATTTGCGTTATAATAAACATATATCTGCTATGTGGACATTGAACTAGTTGGAACTGATACTATATAAAAACCAGTGGTACCACAGCAGTTACTGTTTCATTTGAAGAATTAGTCCTTTTCCCATAATACATTGGTTAAAAGTGTGAGCAGAATAAGATTTATTTATTAAAGTTTAGTGGCATTTACCGAACAAAGAAACTGTAAAAGACATTCAATCATCGTCTATAATATCGTCGATACCTACGATAATTGAAACCATAGGGTGGAGGAGAGGAACGACGAACCGTAGTCGTTGAATGAGCTGCTAAATTAAGAAAACCATCTGCGGTATAAGAAATATTCGGTCCACTTGATTTATTATCTGTAGTTATTTTCCATTCAATACGACAGAACGGACAAGTAACCGGTTCACGCATCAATGTTTTCATTCGACGCCATTGATTAAAGCAACTGTTGTGCATATTATTACCACATGATGTGGAACAAAACAGAATATTTTCAGGGTCGCCTGCTTTATCTTCCATTGATTCACAACATATGGGACAGTCATCGTCAGCTGTAATTGCTTTTTGTTTTACAACTGTTTCTGGCACAGTTGTATCCACGACAGTATCAAGGATTGTATTGGAGTCACCCGTTGTTACTTGGTAAGCTCGGCGCACCTGAGAAAAAATATTTAGTAAAGGATCTATAGACATCTTAATTTACCTCTTGCTCTGCAAGAATATTTGAATCATTGAAAATAGCGTTCTGCTGAGCATCGGCATTGGTAAATATCTCGTTCAATTCGTTAGTTAACAGTGCTTTTTGATACAAAAGTCGTGAACGACTATCGACTTTGAGCACACGATGCAAGATAAAAATGATGTGTTTACATACATTACCTGAAGCATGATCGGGACCTATCATTCAACAAAGAGAAAGTTTTGATTTAGCTAAGTAAAGATATACTCTACACTCACAAGTACACGATAGTAAACGGCTAATAGTGACAGTATAAACGTTGCCTGTTTGCCCAAAAACTTGATATGTCCGACGAGTGGGTTCTTCTGGTGTTGAACTAACGGCCAATAAATATAATCGTTCCCGTATAGCACGTTTTATGCGAGTGCACATGGCACTCGTAGGTTTTGAACGATAGCAACGAAGCCGCTTTTCAACTGGAACTGATTCTGGATGATCTTCGGCAGGTAAGGCTTTCGTTTTCTTTTTACGCTTCGTTGTAGTCTGATTTGCTAAACGCTCCACTTGAGGTTTTTGTTTATCGACTAAGTCTTGTGAACGTGTTCGCATTCTCCTAACTGGTATTTTAGAGTACGAATAGGTAGACGTGTGCAGAGGAAAAGAATTTTCAGGTTTATCTTATTTTACATAATAAAACTGGTATTGCACAACTTCGGTGAAATATATGTAGATAATACAATATTCTTTCTCATGTTTTTTGCTATAGCAACTCGTAGATTTTGAATTCGGATAAAGTGCTGTGATCAACTGTTACTGTTGTATTGAACAGAGTCAGAATTTTCTGCATTTATTCTCCGATACTTTTATAAATATCAGTTGATTTTTTTCTGTTATGATGATCTTTGTGTCTTCTTTCTTTCTCATAATTCAGTCATCAATCAAGAACGATCTTCTATTTCAACAAAAACCAGTTCAGGTTTAAGCGAATTTAGTACAGGATTATTAAATTTTATCGTTAAAGTAAAAGAATTTCTTTTTCAATAAGAGCCTTCGTGCACATAGTATATTACAAGGCAGATATGATATACAACTGTTAACAAGCGATGTAATTTTTATTCAGCAAGGTTTTGCTCGAGTTCTGCTCGATGTTGAACATTAACGAATTGGTTTAGTTACAAATTATTCGAATGGATAGTCTAGTCAATAGGATGACAAATTCAACTTCGTTATCATGAATCAGTAATTGGTTTTGGAGTTTATCGTCCATCATATATAGATTTCAAAGCATTTATTATTGGCGATCTTACTTAGAAAATAAAATGAAATCCTCTGATATCTGCAAGCTATTCAAAATAATTTGTTTACTACGCTTCTAGTCATAGAAAAGATAATACACACAGTGATATTCGTCCGATTCTACTCATTTGTTTCTGAAGCGATTTTGTAGATCGGCGGTTCATCAGCATATATTATATTCGATTGATTTGAAACGTCTTTTTTGTTTCGATTTCTACGACGTCGGAGGCAGAACCAAATGAGAATACCAGCAAGAAGGATTCCCAAACAAAGAGCAACAATAGAAATAATCAGTGGAATGAGAAACCATTTTGATGATGATCTATTATAATTACCATTTGGATATGATCCTTAAAACATCAAATATAGAAAGTATTTGCATTCGATATAGTTCTCAAGCAAAGTCAATTATACCCAATGGTCTCTGAGGACCAATCAGATGCTTCGCTTCGATCGACGTTACATCTGAATATGATCCGATGTTATTCTGCGCGTCCACAATAGTAACAATGAAAAATATCGCTACAACGATCACTGCCATAAATATTCGATCCGATCTAACATAAAATGATATACCAGCTCTCTACGAGCATATAAATATAAACTACACTATTATACGACTTCTGACATAAAACGAAAAAAAGTACTTTTACATTAAGAAAATGTCACATTCACATACTATTAGTAGAAACAGGTTCGAATGTTATAATTCGATTCAATGTTCTTTCTTGCTTTCCTTCTCTTTGTAAAAACGGATCCATACGATGAAAGATACTGTTTACCTGTTGGTTGCGCAATTACATGATGGCACACGTTACACGTCATTTATTATTACTCATTTCTATACCCACCATATAAGGTGTTCGCTTCATTACATTTTTCTAAAAGAATGTCGTCCGCCAACGGTGTTTGTCACGTGGATATCCTTAAACCTACTGATTATGATGAAAATCCTGCTAGATATAAAAAAGTAAGTGTCGTCATTGTGTCTGATACACATAAAAACCATCGAAGATTGGCGATTCCCAATGGTGATATACTTTTACATTGCGGAGATTTTTCAAATCGACATGATTGGTACAATTTATCCGATGAAAATCCAATTCCAAAATCAATCGTTGATTTCAATCAATGGTTAGGCGCATTACCACATCAACACAAATTTGTCATTTGTGGGAATCATGAAATTGGCTTTGCACAACTTTCCCTGGAGGATATTCAATCGAAACTGTTAACAAATTGTAAATATCTACAAGACGAATTAGTCGAAGTTGAAGGAATAACAATCTATGGTTCTTCGTGGCCGTTCACTCAATCTTATCGTTCAAAATGGTCTTCTATTCCAGATCGTATTGATGTTTTGATGACGCATGTACCACCGCAGTATATCTTAGATTTAGCTTATCAACCGAAGAAGGCTCCGATCACAGAACCTTGTGCAATGTGTGATGATAAAGTTCACGGATCGTATGGACACTGGGGCTCGCGAAGCTTAAAATGCGCAGTTCTGGAAAGAATCCAGCCACGTGTACATTGTTTTGGTCATGTTCATGACGATCCTGGTTATAAATATGAGAATAATACACTTTTTATTAATGCAGCTGCTAATCTGACACATCAATCGTTCAAACTTAACTTTTATGTTGATTTAAATAAATAGCAATATGCTCAGTAACAGACGAATTTCACCTCAAGTTGAACTCTCCATTGCATTGCGCCCTCTCGGATTTTTTATTTGGAAATTGAAAGAAAGATTTAAGTTTCACGAGAATGAGTAGAGCTCTGCGCTATTTAATGGTCCACCATTAAATCCTGCGGTAATCAGTATCGATCCGTTTGATAAGGTCGATGCTTGATGTCGATATCGACCGTGATTCATGCTATTCACAGTTACCCAAGTATTTGTTGAAATGTCGTATATTTCAGCGCTTGTTAAAGCTTCCGTATTGTAATATCCACCAGCAATCAACACGTTTCCATTATTTAATGTTGATGCAGTATGATGTTTTCGAACAACATTCATTGGATTCGTCGTTGTCCAAGCATCTGTTTCCGGATCATATACTTCACCTCTCTTGACATATCCACTTCCCTGTCCACCAGTGACTAACACTTTTCCATTCGACAATACTGCTGCAGCATGTTGCATTCGTGGATAATCCATACTTCGAGCAGCTCTCCATGTACCCGTTTCAGGATCATACAATTCTGCGCTATCAAGAACATCCGAAGTGAATCCACCGGCAACTAGTACTTTTCCGTTCAACAACAGCGATGCCGTATGCTCGCTTCGTGCCTGTGCCATCGAACCGGTTACTGTCCAATTTCCACTTTCCGGATCATATAATTCAGAAGTATTACTGTCAACACCGATCGCTGTTTTACCACCAACAACTAGTACTTTTCCATTTCGTAACAGTGTAGCTGTATGGAAAATTCGTGGATAATTCATCACACTACTATCCGTCCATTTTTGTGTCTGAATATCATACACTTCACTAGTACTTAAAGGACCAGGATTGGCACCACCGCTCACTAAAACATTTCCATTTGATAATAAAGTTGCCGTATGATACGATCTCGGATTGATCATAAATTCAACAAATCTCCATGTTCCGGAAGATGGATCATAAATTTCAGCTTCATTTAGAGTAATGTATTCACTGCCACCAGTAACTAGAACTTCTCCATTTTTTAGAGCAGTTGCGGTATGATCAACACGTCTATTTAAAAGATCATTTGTATTTATCCATTGTTGCCCGAAACAATTCACAGCGATATTAATAAGTAGAACGAAAATGATTTGAAAAACTGCCATGTGAAATACAACGTATACTAAAATAAAAATGGATATGTGATAAAAACACGACCTAACTCTTTTTATCTTGCAAAGGCAGCTGATGCTCCGGCAATATTGCTCTCATCATATCACAAAGCATAACATAGTTCGAAAAGCACAAAAAAGGAAAAAAAATTGTCAATACAACTAATAGAGAAAGTATTTGGATGGATCGTATATTTCGGCACTGTTCAGAAAATGTGTGGTCTGATACGATCCACCTGCTACTAATACTTTTCCATCCTCTAATAATGTGGCTGTATGATATTCGCGTGTGTAATTCATACGGCCAGCGAATGTCCATGTCTCTTCTAACGGATCATACAGTTCTGTACTATTACCAGTCGAAGGATTGCCGAATCCACCGCTCACTAAAACCTTTCCATCTTGTAATAGAACTGCTCTATGACTACTTCGTGGAGATGACATATTACGAGTCATTGTCCATTTCTCTGTCAATGGATCGTATAATTCTGCACAACTTTGCGAGCCACCAATTGTCCATCCTCCACTAACTAGAACTTTTCCATTCAGTAACAGAGTCGCTGTATGAAAGACTCGTGCAATATTCAGACTACCAGTAGACGCCCATTTTCCTGTTAATGGATCATATAGTTCACAAGTATTTGTCGCATTAGGAGGAGGCCCATTTCCACCAATCACCAATACTTTTCCGCTTCCTAGGACACATGCTTGATGATAATCTCGTCCATTGCTCATACTACCGGTAATTGTCCATACTCCAGTAGTTGGATCATAAATTTCGGCACTTTTCAATCGATTATAACTTTCATCAAAACCACCAACAATCAAAATCTTTCCATCTGCTAATAAGGACGCTGTATGTCCATTACGACCAAAATGAACATCGCCAGTAGGTGTCCACGTTTCTGTGAATGGATCATATAGTTCAGTACTCGTAGTCATACCACTATCGTTATCACCAGATACAGCCAAGACTGTTTTATTATTGAGCATGATTACGGCATGTCCAATTCGTGAGTTCACCATGGTTCCAGTCAGTTCCCATGATTTACTTAATGCATCATAGAGTTCTGCGCTCTTCAAAATACCATCATTTCGATTAGCACCGCCCGTTACTAATACTTTCTTGTTATGCAACAGAATCGCGTTATGTCCACCGCGTGCGTAGCGCATACTACCTGTAAGAGACCATCCTAAACAGTAAACATTGGTAGTTCGTAATTGTTCTTACAAAAAAAATGGCTCGTTAAGTCTAACTCAACTTTCAGACTTACTTGACTTCTCGATCGTTCTGATGATAGTTGATGTCTCACGTTGAGAATTATTAAATTTCCAGAAGAGAGTAATACAAACCGTTGAAATTGTTAACAGTGTGAATGCGAACCCAATAATCTTAATCGAACGATGATGCCACCAATTTTTTGGTTTATTATTCAAAGGAATACACTCGTTGCACGTCACATGACACGACATTACGATGCTTCTGAATTAATATGTAATATATAATGCAAACTGATAAAATGCTTGCTTCGTCAGATTCTTTGTAGGGTGTGATAACGAATTATGTCCTTAGCACACAAAATAAAATATTTCTAACGAGAGAAACGACAATATTTCTCTACATTAATGTCCAAAAGAACTAGAGTAGTAGAGCAAATGAACTGCTCAGCTATGTTTCTCATTATCGAGAGAAAAAGAAGTTTTTGATCTATTCTGTTTCCTATCGTGGTAGGCATTGCGGTGCTACCTATGATGTCCAGGATGTCGATGTATAATGCCTTTCTTTTTTTGTGCATCTTCGCACACACATACATTCACAGGAACGATGGTGAAAGCAACAACGAAGTCTAAAAAGCAGCAATACTCAAGATAACCAAGAGAACAATTTAATGAAACTTCATCTATCGAACGAACGGGTTTAAATATATTGACAACTAGTTGTGCTAGTGCAAGGGTTCGTCGTCGAGCTGATCAACAACCTTAACAGATCCGATATTATTTTAGCAATTTCTGGTGTTCTTTGTTTGCTATATGGTATTTGGCAATTTATTCGAATACATCGACAAATCAATCGTTGAAGCTTATTCTGCAGTCATGATATAAATGGACCGATTATTTCTGCATTTTTGTTAATTATAGTACTAGCTGCGGTAATCTTTTTTTTTTCTTTATTGTATAAAACATCTTTACGAAGTAGTATAGTCTTGTTACCTATTGAGTACAACAGAAATGCAGTATCATAAGTAAATACTATTTTCTTTTAACTCAACTACTTCCTTTTGTACAAATGAAGATTGTACTCTTCGGGCAAGCACGACATCATAAATTAAGAAGTTATATTCGAATTTTCGTTTGGAACATTCCACGTTCTATTACTTCATATTCTAAGATAAATGATGGTGAAAAAAGAACTCAGGGTTTTTTTTGTGTTAGTGAGTCAGCTACGTGCTTTGTGACAGAACGAGCAGGTTATGTGTTTCATGCTGGCTTCCCACTTCCTCTTTTTCGTCTTTTTTTTTCAGGAAATATATTTTCTTGCAACATCTTTTTTCTTTTCCTTTTGCAAAAACTTAAACATCACCGAATATAAGTTTATAAAAAAAGGGTGGTAATAATGCAGACAAAAAAATAGAGAAAAACTAAAGAAGAGAGAAAAGGGGAAAAGAGGAGGAGTAGGAAGCCAGGTTTCGTGAGAGGGTAAATACGTATGTTTTTCTTCAATTTTACATATAAAAACCCACTGTGTGTCGAAATTACAGCATTATTGTAATATGAGTAGTAACATAGAATCTCTAGCTTCATTTGAACACTTGCCCGTCGAAGTTATTCTTCTTATCTTTGATTTTTTCTCACTTCAACAACTTCTGGCATCCTTCCTCAATCTCAATTCATTCGTCAATTCAGTTATTCGCAGTGTCAGACACAAATATCATGGCGTTAAAAACAATAATATTGACGCTATTCGTGTTCTACAAGTATTTCCAACTGTTGTCGATCGGTTAGTCATTCGTTATTCTAACGCAGCCAATTTCAAATCTCTAATCAATCTACGCTCACTCTCGCTACAATGTTCCACAAGTACGCAGCTCTATAGTGTCCAACCAAATAATTTTCCACATCTTGAGATTCTTCATATCACAGGTAATGAAACGATGATGTCATTGTACTAATCCATCTATTTGTTTCATTTCCCAAATAGATTTCGATGGCACACAGGAGGATAAGTTAAAAGTGATAAGTGATTTGTTGGAAATACTTCTGTCGAACGGATTCTCTCGTCTTCGAATATGTACAATACTCGACATTGGGACCGTGCCATTCAATGAAAAGTGGACAGGTACTCCTAGTCTGAAAATTTTGAATGTAGCAATGGCGACAAACGAAGATAAAGTAAAATTTCAAGCAAGGTTTCGATATGTACGTCATTTGACAACTCAAGAATATTCATTCGTTCCAGATTCAGGTATATCAAGAATAATACGTCTACTCGTAAAAAAATAATACGTATTTGTTTGTGTCATTATAGCCTCTCCTGTATTATTAAATCGCAAAGTAATAGCTGAGATCAAACTACTTAAAAAGTTGGAGTCAGAAAATAAATTCATATTAGACAAAGTTTCAGGGCAATCTATTGATACNACAGCCAAGACTGTTTTATTATTGAGCATGATTATGGCATGTCCAATTCGTGAGTTCACCATGTTTTCAGTCAGATTCCATGATTTACTTAATGCATCATAGAGTTCTGCGCTCTTCAAAACACCATCATTCCGATTAACACTATTAGCACCGCCCGTCACTAATACTTTCTTGTTATGCAACAGAATCGCGTTATGACCACCGCGTGCGTAGCGCATACTACCTGTAAGAGACCATCCTAAACAGTAAACATTGATAGTTCGTAATTGTTCTTACAAAAAAATAGCTCGTTAAGTCTAACTCAACTTTCAGACTTACTTGACTTCTCGATCGTTCTGGTGATAGTTGATGTCTCACGTTGAGAATTATTAAATTTCCAGAAGAGAGTAATACAAATCGTTGAAATTGTTAACAGTGTGAATGCGAACCCAATAATCTTAATCAAACGATGATGCCACCAATTTTTGGGTTTATTATTCAAAGGAGTACATTCGTTGCACGTCGCATGAGACGACATTACGATGCGTCTGAATTAATATGTAATATATAATGCAAACTGATAAAATGCTTGCTTCGTCAGATTCTTTGTAGGGTGTGATAACGAATTATGTCCTTAGCACACAAAATAAAATATTTCTAGCGAGAGAAACGACAATATTTCTCTACATTAATGTCCAAAAGAACTAGAGTTGTAGAGCAAATGAACTGCTCAGCTATGTTTCTCATTATCGAGAGAAAAAGAAGTTTTTGATCTATTCTGTTTCCTATCGTGGTATAGGCATTGCGGTGCTGCCTGTGATGTCCAGGATGTCGATGTATAATGCCTTTCTTTTTTTTTTGTGCATCTTCGCACGCACATACATTCACAGGAACGATGGTGAAAGCAACAACGAAGTCTAAAAAGCAGCAGTACTCAAGGTAACCAAGAGAACAATTTAATGAAACTTCATCTATCGAACGAACGAACCTTCCTATCTGGGACACGAATGGGTTTAAATATATTGACAACTAGTTGTGCTAGTGCAAGGATACGTCGCCGAGCTGATCAACGACCTTAACAGATCCGATATTATTTTAGCAATTACTGGTGTTCTTTTTTTGCTGTATATGGTATTTGGCAATTTATTCGAATACATCGACACATCAATCGTTAAAGCTTATTCTGCAGTCATGATATAAATGGACCGATTATTTCTGCAATTTGGTTAATGACAGTACTAGTTGCGATAATCATTAGTTTCTTTATTGTATGAAACATCTTTACGAAGTAGTATAATCTTGTTACCTATTGAGTACAAGAGAAATGCAGTACGATAAGTAAATACTATTTTCTTCTAACTCAACTACTTCCTTTTGTACAAATCAAGGTTGTGCTGTTCGGGGAAAGCATGACATCATAAATTAAGAAGTTATATTCGAATTTTCGTTCGCTGATTTTCGTTTACAACATTGCACGTTCTATTACTTCATGTTCTAAGATAAATGATGGTGAAAAAAGAATTCAGTGTTTTTTTTTGTGTTAGTGAGTTAGCCACGTGCTTTGTGACAGAACGAGCAGGTTATGCGTTTCGCGAGAGGTTAAATACGTTTGTTTTTCTTCAATTTTACGTATAAAAACCCACTGTGTGTCGAAATTACAGCATTATTGTAATATGAGTGGTAACATAGAATCTATAGCTTCATTTGAACACTTGCCCATCGAAGTTATTCTTCTTATCTTTGATTTTTTTCTCACTTCAACAACTTCTGGCATCCTTCCTCAATCTCAATTCATTCGTCAATTCAGTTATTCGCAGTGTCAGGCACAAATATCATGGCGTTAAAAACAACAATATTGACGCTGTTCGTGTTCTACAGGTATTTCCAACTGTTGTCGATCGGTTAGACATTCGTTACTCTAACACAGCCAATTTCAAATCTCTAATCAATCTACGTTCACTTTCGCTACAATGTTCCACGAGTGCGCAGCTCTATAGTGTCCAACCAAATAATTTTCCACATCTTGAGATTCTTCATATCACAGGTAATGAAACGATGATGTCATTGTACTAATCCATCTATTTGTTTCATTTCCCGAATAGATTTCGATGGCACACAGGAAGATAAGTTAAAAGTGATAAGTGATTTGTTGGAAATACTTTTGTCGAACGGATTCTCTCGTCTTCGAATATGTAAAATACTCGATATTGGGGCCGTGTCATTCAATGAAAAGTGGACAGGCACTCCTAGTCTGAAAATTTTGAATGTAGCAATGGCGACAAAAGAAGATAAAGTAAAATTTCAAGCAAGGTTTCGATATGTACGTCATTTGACAACTCGAGAATATTCATTCGTTCCAGATTCAGGTATATCAAGAATAATACATCTACTCGTAACAAAATAATACGTATTTGTTTGTATCATTATAGCCTCTCCTGTATTATTAAATCGCAAAGTAATAGCTGAGATCAAACTACTTAAAAAGTTGGAGTCAGAAAATAAATTCATATTAGACAAAGTTTCAGGGCAATCTATTGATACCAATAGACCACCACCACGTTTCAGCAACACGCCAATAACCGTACGTTCGTCTGAACACTACCGGCATACCATTGAAGGTCGACTTCTGTTACAAAGTGAGCCATACTGCCGTGCATCATTTCTTATTCGAATTGGTTTGACTGCAGAATATCCTTTCAAATATCCTGACATACAGTTTCTAGATCCAATTTATCATCCGAATATTTCACAAACAGGTGTGTGTTGTGGTTGTGATTGTGGCTTTCGCTTTGCAGATTCAAGCTACAGACCGACATTATCATTGCATACGATCTTGTCAACTATTATTCAAATGATAGACAGTCCGTTTATTGGAAAAAATGGAAGCCATAATCCAGAATGTTATCTGGAATATCGTAATGATTATCCAGCATTCTACAGGAAAGCATTGGACAGCACACTTTTATATGGACGACCACGTGATTGATTGAAACACAAGAAAAATGTTTTCATGCCATATATAATAAAATAAGATTTCGTCAAAGACTGACATCTGTCAAAAGATCGAATATGAGTCATGCATATGTCGGTTATCTTGCACAACAGATACGTTGTTTTCACCACAAGTAATCGAGTAAAAAATGAGTAATGACTTCGAAGCGAAATATACAATTCATCTTTTACGAGAAAAGCCGGAATATGTTCAAGAAGTAAGCAACGTATTCTACAACGAATGGCAGGATAGTTATCATGCATTCGGTTTGCTGACCCTCGAAGCTGCGATACAAGACGCCGAAATGAATTATATTCGAAATGAAAAACAACTACCTTTATTAATGATTCTACTGGATAAACAGAGTCAGAATCTGATTGCAACTATTGGCTTGGAAGTTTGTGATGTATCTCCAGGCAATCCATATTATAACACAACACCTTGGCTAGCTTGTACTTATACGAAGCCAGAATATCGTGGACAAGGTATAGCAAAGTACATGATTGGGAAAATCTTAGATCTAGCGAAAGAATTGAAATATACATATGTGTGGCTATGGACGAGAAGTGCTCAAGGTTTATTTGAAAAACAAGGATATCACCTCGTCGAAACGTTACGCCACGGTGAATCGAATATTAATGTTATGAGAATTGATTTTGATACATCAAACTATTGAATATTTCCATGACGATTTTATTTTCTAGAATGCAAAAATAAAACATGATGATTCTAAACTGGTTTCCAGCAATTTCTTTCGACGTTAAGATTTCTGATCCTTTACCATGAGTTTTCTTCATAAATATTGATAAAAAAAAGCAGAAGGAGAAAATCGATCGCAGACTTTAATAATTGTAACAAGATTACGAAAATATACAGATGAATGAAGAGAGACATGCGTCTCCTGAAAGAGCTATGTTCGTAAACAATTAACAAAATCCGGTGTGACAAGTTTAACATGTATCAAGTCAAGGACGTCTGGACACCATTTAGTAGCATACTACTTATGATGAGTTTTTCATTTGAGGACTCAATAGATCAGCAATGCCAACCAAGAAAAGATCATTTTTCAATGTAAATTGATTATAGTATACATGTGAGATGAATTGTCCGTGGGTCATCAAAAGAATATTGTAATCATAATATAAAATGTAATGTATTTTCGATTCAACCAAGCAATAACTCTTTTAATCTTTTCCGTTGCACGCCTATACTAAATAGTGGGAACTCGTTTGTTCTGGGACAACAATCGTCGTAGTAATATTAGCATTTAATAATATGTTTCAATTTGAATTTGGCCATTGAAATTCGAACGATAGTAACTGACTGCTAAATAAACGGTGCGACATTTTTGCATGCTCATTACAAACAGTGAACCAGTAGTATTTGAACGATGACATTGCCAATCAGTGAGTAGAGACAGACGAAATGATCGCCTTTCTTGTTCATTTGTTCGACAAATACAACCACCAGGAGAACAAATTGATTTTAACTCAAACCACGACTTGATATCAATAATATAAGATGAATAAACAAATACTTTTGGACGCTATTCCTTTCGATTATCCGCTCAGATTATTCTCGTTTCTTAGAAATTTAATCATTTATTAATAGTAGAATAACTGGTTTCTGTAGATACAGTCAATGTTCGATGTTTAATGGAGGATTAGCACACTAATAGGATACTCCCCACAGCTTCGAAGTCTTTCATCTTTTTTTCCAAAAATATTATATGCAACTTGTGTATTCATTGACTACGTCACGACAGCAATGTACGTATATCGAGAGAGTATAAGCGTGAACGAATAGCTTCACATCTAATAATTTATTTATTTTTCGAATGTAACAAATTCTTCTAATGTAACGATTATTTTTACGTAAAATTACTAAAAAGAGTATATTTGACCCCGACGTGACTTGAACACGCAACCTTCTGATCTGGAGTCAGACGCGCTACCGTTGCGCCACGGAGTCTTCGATACATTTTTGAAGTACAGGTCTCTTTAACTAAGATTGGCAACAGATAATGTGATTTCTTCTCAGGATCTAAAGAGACGTCTAATCGCACTGACCATTGACTATCTTCTGTTTATACATCGTCTCATTTTCATTATTGTCAATGTCAGTCTATTCTCGTTAGCAAAAAAACACTTTTTATAGCTATCTGAGATCTGATGAAATAATTGACTTTGAAAATGAATGAGCTTGTTATTCTCTACATTCTGGCTAAAGAACTCTCTATTTTAATCTTTCATGAACATTAGACAACCACGAAAATATCCGCATACATCATCATTGTTAATAATTTGAACTTCATGGCAATGATTGACATTATCACGATGAATAATTCGCCATAATTAGTCATAGATACTTGCAAATGAAAACAATTCTTTGAGTTCATCTTGATGCTCTACCGAAAAACCTTCTTGATTGCTAGCATCGTACAGGTCACGTGTTTTGCCGCGAACGCAGAAGTACTGTTTGAATTTTTTTTCAAGTGACGAACGAAGCTGACAAAAAAAAGAAAGTATTGTTTGTATTCTAGAATCTACCAGTTCGTTATTCTTTTTACTTTCGATGGAACCATATGAACTCCTCCTTCGTTTTCTTTGCTTCTCTCATAACAAAAAAGTTAAAAGGTTCTTTTTCTCGTATTATTAAGAACGGAAAGAAACGAATGCATTTAAATACATCGAACATTTACTGTCTTTTTTCATTCACTAATCTTTCTAAAAATTCTCAACAATAACCTGAACGAACAAGCATTATGAGTGGTTCACACGGCAAACTTGAAGTAACCATTATCGAAGCCCGTCATCTCAAAGATCAAGATATCGTTGGCAAAAATGATGCTTTCGTCGAAGTCTATCTAGACAAAGACTACAAACAACGAACAAAGACGATTAAGAATAACAACGATCCTCAATGGAACGAGACATTCACCTTGTAAATTCTTCTTATTCACACGATGATCTGATTTGATTTATAAGTTGTATATTGTAGCAATTTATCGCGAAATCATGACGATTTACATCTTCATGTTTATGATGACGACGCAGTCGGCAAAGACTCGATTGGCGAAGCAAAGATTGATCTGAGAAAGCATGATTTTTCCAAAGGCGCTTTTGACGAGTGGATAAAACTACCCGCCCTGTTAGGTCTTCGTTCAAAAGGCGAAATTCATGTAAAGATCGAACATAAAGTAAGTGCTTTTTTTCCTACAATTTCCTAGATTATTTATTTTCTGTTTGTATATTTTAGGAATGAAGTACAGATATGTGACATGAACTGTTGTATTTTATACGTTTTTTTATACATTAAACCAGCGTTAGATTCTTTGAAATAAACATATTCAATGCCATTTAAATAGCTTCAGACATAGCTGGCGCATGTTTGTGCGAAACCTAGGAGTCGAAATTTTCATCCGTCCGAGGAGAAAATCTTTTCGATACAAATACGTGTTTACAGAAAGGCAAAGGGCCTGTTTCTTATTACAGCTATGTATTTGCGTAAATTTCAGACAACATCCAATATCAAAAGAAGCACTCCTATATATCAGTATGAAATATTCTTTAGATGATTGATAAATTATTGATAGATAATAAGAAATCTATCAATAGCAGATTGATCTGCAATTGTCGTTTGATAATTTGTAAAAAAAAATGGTATTGGAAAGAAATCATGTATTTTGAGTATGCAAGCTAGTGTAGAAAGCAACTTGTAAAAGTGACAATCTACGTAACTGCATCCCTCGTCGGTGACGTAAAGTATGTTGAGGTAATATAACAGCCATCGAGTTCAATTCTCCTTGATGTTGCAAGGTTGAAAAAACGTGAAGTCATCGCTAACGTAAATTTTTTACACTTAAAACGCTACACAAAATAATAATCAAAATCGGTATTAGAGAGGAGACAGTACATTGTGTAACGTAAAACAATGCATACAGCCACGTGCTTTCGACGATTGGAAACCAACCAGTGTAACATAAGATTTGCCACATTAATCCGAGACTAAAAATAAATAGGTAACTTCACATTTTACAAAGAATATTGATGGTTAGACCGTAATCTTCACCAATTAGCTGCGCGATAGCTTTAGTTAATGCTAAACTATTGAAAAGAATGATCTGCCCGATAGAAATAGCAATGAAATACAGCGAACATGCACTAATCACTCAATTTACATCATGTGAAGATCAAAATATTCATCAGATTACCTCCTATGCCAATAAGATACATTGGAGTTCAGTAATCAATTCCAAACTTTGTGGTTAAATCAGATAAGTAGTTAGTAATTTATATAAAATCTCATAATCTGACTCAGAACATGACATCATTGCAATATTCGTCATACCTTCTAATATTCTGAAAATAGAATCAATTTTTGCAGTGAGAGTACAAAAGAAAACAAACAGTTCGTATTCATAAACCATCGAAGTGTTCTACGACGAACGACAACTCGTCTTTGAAGAGCTTTTGCACACGTGCGAGCGCCATAAAAAATGTTCAGAAACTTCTCCAACAGCAGGAAGGTCACAGTTCAACACAAAAAAAAGAACTTCTCATTTACAAATGAATGCAAACATTTATTAGAATAGTATCACGAAGAATAGTTTTACTCCTGTGCAGTATCGTTCATTTGTGATGTAATGCAGTTTAAATTTGCCTTATAGATTTCAATATGAGGATGATTTGCCGGTAATGACTGTTGGGCTACTTCTAATGCTCGTTGACAATACGATAATCCATTTGAGTGATTCCCGGTAAAGAACGATGCCAATCCAATGTGTCCATAGGAAAAGGCTAGGTCGGGATGGTTTGAAGGAAGACTTTTGCTTTGAATTTCAAGTGCTTTCTCGAAATATGTCAGTGCTGTAAGATATTCACTCATTCTAGCATAGACAGAACCGATGTTAGTATTCAAATTAGCAAACTGAGGATCATTTGCAGGTAGAGTTCTTTGGTAGATTCTCAATGCTTTTCCATAATACGCAAGTG